TTTTTTTTTAAATAATTTTCGACATTGCCTAATAAAGTGTTTTGTCTAACATCTCAAAACAATGTAAGCAATTTGACACGATTTTTAGAAAGTTATTCTGTCTTAGATACTCTCACGAGACAGTTTCCCGTACGTTGACTCACAAAAATAATTGAAAAAAGTGCAATGTGATGCAGCCAATTTTTTAAGTGCAGCTAGATGAAACTATGAACTATGGCTCCTGTAAATTTGAAAGCAGGCCCTCATAGGTCGCAAAAGTATCGACTATAACTTTACAGTAAATGCATTCCATTTGCTCTTATAGTTTGAATTTACAATGTATCGATTTACTAATGTAATAGTTAACAATTCGTGAGATGTTAGCGATACAAAATGTTGTACTTACAACCAAGAACAATATCCATTTTACACAACTGAAAAAAAACAGTTCCACAGAAACATACACACTTTAAACTATTCACTTCGTACTGTCGCTCTCGCTCACGAGTAATGACTGTCCGAAAAACTCGAAATTTGAAGTGTAATTGCCATTCAGGTATAAAAGTATGGGTCATTTCGTTTTTCCCACCACACGGACGCATCATTAAACTAACCAATCCGCAAGTCAAAATCTCCCCAACGACAACTTCGATTTTTTGGATCTTGACCATGATTTCCAGCTTTCGTACCACTGTGCGCCCGTCGTACACAATCAATTCAAATTTGCATTTGTTTGCGAAGGTCTAAATTCATGTGCACACGTGTTCTACGTCACATGACTAGAAGAGCGTTGGAACCACCGTATTCCGGACCGCATAAAGTGGTTAAGCGCATTTCTGAGCGCGTGAACACTATCGATGTCAATGGAGTTTCGCGCACCGTGTCGACGGAGCTGTTAAAACCGACATTTCTCCTTATGGAAGGAATCTGGTTGTTCCAGCACGCGGCACCATAGCCTCGCGGGACTGTCACGTCCGTCGACGTGTTGCGAATAGATTATAAGACATATTCCGTTCCTACTTAGATCATAAGCTATACATCATTCTCCTATGCTATACTCCATTCCCCTACCCGCAGAACATATGCCTACACCACATACTAGTAAATACATAACTCTGTATCACCGATTGCTAATACTCACCGACCTTACCATCATGCGCCAACCATTAGATTCGTCTCATGATGTCCCACTTACCGACACTGTATGCGCCCTTCATATCTCCACCCATCATCCCAATCAGAAAGCACCGCGCTACGCGCTGCCAGTACTTGCGTCACCCGCATCTCCGCGACATTTCTACTCTTCCGCCCAGCGAGCGCCCCACTCTATTGCCTCCTCACCACTCTCCCGGAGCTCAGTTGATCAACAAGGCCCCGGAGAGCGGTCTGTCCGCTCTCTCTTGTTTCAGCCTCCTACGAGACCAGTCATCTCCGGAGAGCTCTCGCGTCCCATCTCTTTTTTTTCTTTTTTTTTTACGTGGGGTAAATCTGCTGACCAGACACACCCGCCCCGCCCGGGGGAGTGAAGCGGGGGTAGTGCGGGATTTGACCCGCTAAAACCCCCACGGCGACCGTGCTAGTCGGTCTCGATCACGACCCCGCCCGGCAGCCTCCTTCGCAGAAGGAAATTGCTGCCGCCCATTTTTTAGGGCTCTCCAGCATGGCCCCAACTAAGCTGGAGAGAGCGAGGTCGTGACCGACTTCCCGTTTTAGGACTCGGCGCAGCGCTGAAAAGGTGGGGCATTTCTCCAGCGTATGCTGCGCCGAGTCCTCCTCTGCGCCACAGTGGTGGCACACCGTCGTCGCTTCCCTACCGATGCGACACAGATAAACACCGAAGCTGCCATGCCCAGTGAATACCTGCGTCGCCCGGTGGGTCAGCCTGCCATGCCGCCTCTCCTGCCACGAGGTAAAGTGTGACAGGAGGGCCCCGGCGACCCGCTCGCCGGCGTGGGAACAGAGTTTCGCACGCCATTTGGCAAGCGCTAGTCGCCGGGCCCGGAGTTCGTACGCCTCGACCGTCTCTCGCTCCGGCTGTTCCCTCCGAGCCCCGGCAGCGACGCGTATACGCCTATAAATATAGGCGCGCATCGCCGCCTGAAGCTTGAAGGGAATTTCTCCCGCCAGAGCAAGCGCCGCCACGGTGGACGTGATGCGGTAACCTGTAATAAGACGGATGGCCATCCGCCTTTGCATCCGGCGCAGTAATAAAACCATGCGCCGGCTGGCCATCACAGCTGGCGCCCAAATTGGAGCGCCATACAAAGCCATGGACCGCACCACGCCCAAGTACAGGCGGCGCACCCAATCCCCTGATCCCCCGAGGTTGGGTAATAGGCGGCCTAACGAGACCGCCACCCCATCCACTCGGGGGACAAGGCGGTCAAGGTGCGTATCGAAGCTCCAGTGGCTGTCGAGGATCAGTCCAAGATACTTCATCTTGGACTTCACCTCGACGCAGGCTTCTCCCACCCGGATCCACGATCTGGCCGGTGGCCGGGACCGAGGCCGTCTGGTTTCACGGACGGCCTTCTCCGGGGCTATTTTCAGCCCCAGATCGTGGATCCTCGCGACGACGGCTGCCACCGCATCCTCCGCTCGTCGGATGGTCCTCTCGAAGGTGTCCCCGACGGCGACCACCAACGTGTCGTCCGCGTAGCAGACGATGGTGGCACCGTCGGGCAGGGAGGCCTTCTCCAGGACCGCGTTGTATCCCAGGTCCCACAGGAGAGGTCCTAAGACGGACCCCTGCGGGACCCCGTGGTCCACCTCCCTCCGAATCATCCCGTACCGGCCCGGGTATTCTACCCACCTGCCCCGCAGTTAGGCCCCAATCACCCGCCTTAAATAGGGAGGCACCTGGTGTTCTACCAGGGCCTCCCTAATGGCGGACCAGGGCAGGGTGTTGAACGCATTGACGATATCAATCGATACCGCCATGCACACCCCGCCCCTTGCCACGGCATCCTCCGAGAGGGACTTGAGGGACTCGATCGTCCCTCCCAGAAGCCGAACTGGCAGTCCACCACGGGGCCGTCGCGGGACAGGTGCCTGGAGAGGCGAGCAACAATAATCTTTTCGAAGATCTTGCCCACCTCATCCAGGAGACAAATGGGCCTGTACGCGGAGGGAGAATCCGTAGGCCTCCCATCCTTCCTTAAGAGGACCATCCGACCTACCTTCCAGAGATCGGGGAAAATCCCCGACCTCAGGAGCCTGTTAAAAAGCTCCTTGAGCCACTCGCCCAGGACGCCCATGGCGAGCAGCCAGACCCGACCGGGGATACTGTCCGGCCCCGGGGCAGTATTCTTGCCCCGGAGCCATTTGACGACCCCGGCCATTTCTTCTGGCGCGACCTCTAGATCCGGGGACCACTCACAGTCCTCTGGCACAGGGGCAGGCCGGGACGCCTCCCCACTAATAGGGAATAAGGCGCCCACGACCCGCCTGAGCATCCCCGGATCCAGGCTCTCCGTCACGGGGGGCGCCCAAGGACGTAATCGTCCCATTGCCATCTTGTATGGGCGCCCCCACGGATCTCGACTCAGAGAGCCGAGGAAGTCGCGCCAGGCCTAGTCTTTTGCCCGCCTGATGGCCAGCTGCAGGGCGATCACCTTCTCCCAGTATCGCCCATACAGCTGCGCAGCCAGCACGTCGTCTCCTCTTCGTCGTCGACGGGCGCGGGCGTACTGGCGTCGCGCGCGAACGCACTCATTGCGTAAATCCGCTATGGCGCGCGACCACCAGTACACCGCCTTCCTCGGGATGACCTTGGCCCGGGGCATGGCGACGTCGCAAATCGACGTCATGGCGCCCCGGAACCAACGAGCCTCCCCTGTCCCGTCGACGGACCCAGCCGGTGTACCTGGGCAGGCCACGACGTGGGCTGCAGCCATCAGAGCGTCCTGGTCGAAACGCTTCAGCGCCCACCGCGGCTGAGGCGAACCCTCATTGATGGGGCGACGTCGGGGTGTCGATGCGGCAGCGGAGAGGCCGAGAACAATATATCTGTGGTCAGACAATGTCTCGACCTCCTCCGCCACCCTCCACCTCGTAATACGTCGCGCGGCCGGGGCTGTTGCCCACGAGAGGTCAACAATAGAGCCCCCGTTATGCCGCACGCACGTATGGACCGAGCCCGTGTTTAGGAGACGAAGCTCAAGTCCCGCCGCCCACTCTAGCACCTCCCGGCCCCTCGTGTCCGTCCCGGGGGACCTCCAGACCGTAGCCTTGGCATTGAAGTCCCCCAGGACCAGCACCTGACGGGGCAGGCAGCGGGAGACGCATCTCCCTACCCCGTCCAGGCTCCGTTCGAACTCTTCAAGGGACCGTCTAAAAGGCGCATAGATTGCCACGACCGCGGTGCCGCCCCAATCAACAGCCAGGAATCCCCAGCCGCGCTCGATGACCGAGCACGCCGAGGATCCCGGTCTACCTACCCAGTATATGGCGGCGGAGCCGCTCGTGTCCCCCATCCAATGAGGATGGTCGGGGACCCTGTATGGCTCCGCCACTACGGCCAACCCGGTACCCCGCTCGACCAGGTATTGCACAAGTAGGTCTTGTGCCCTGGCCGAGTGGTTCAGGTTGGCCTGTATTATGAGGCCACTAGGCCCCATTATACGCCCACTTCGATATCCATCGCGGCCGCGGGAGCGGTGGCGTCTGGAGCTGTATTTGCTTCATCCGCCCCCGCGGGCGCGACGGTGGCATCAAGTGATGCCATATTCTCTTTGTTAGCTACGGTGGCCGCCGCCTTGGCCACCGTGGCTTTCTTCTCCTTGGTCTTACTATATTTATTAGGCGGCTTTTTGCCGCCTCCCCTGCCTCTCTTCGCACCGGCGGGACACGCCTGGCTGCCGAGGTGGTGGCCAGCCGGCCTGCCCGCGCCCGCACAAATCGTGCAATTGGGAGCAGCTGAACAGCTAGCCACCTTATGGTCCCGGCTGCCGCATCCATAGCAGCAGCCGGTCCTGTCCTCGGCGGCAGTGCACTGCTCCCTGGTGTGACCAACACCAAGGCAGCGGTAGCACTGCAGGGGCCGGGCGCTGAGGGCCTCAACCGTCGCCAGGGTCCAGCCCACAGTCAACCTCCCTGCGACCGCAACTTTACGAGCGGCCGCAGCAGGGCACTGGACCCAGATGGTGCCCAGTCCTGAGGGGGAAGACCGGATTTCGCTGGTCCTCACATCCGCCTCAGAGCACCCTCCAACACGGGCGACGGCCGCAGCAATCTCCGCCGGCGTGGTCGAATCGACCAGGCCGCGCACCCTCAAATCGGTCTTTTTGACAGGGCGCGCGACTTTCACGCCGGTTCCCGCTAGTGCGTCGGCCACTTTCGTGGCGAGGACAGTGGCCTTAGCAGCACCATCAGCGCCTGGAACTTCCTGGATGATTGCACCAGTCACCGCCCTCCGCGGCCTTAGCGAGGCGATGCCAACCTCCGCAAGGTCGACCTTCGACCTCGCGGTGGCCATCGCCTGCGCATAAGTCATAGCCCCGCCAGCCGGGACCGTGATGGTCACCGCGGCTGTACGAGACGGACGCGGAGGCAGGAGAGCCTTTTTCGGGGGCGTCGGGGCCACCCGCCCCGCCCACTTCCCGGTCATTGAGGCCCTGACGGCCGCTGCAGATTCAACCGCAGCAGCTGCCTTTTTGGCCTTTCGGCCAACCACCCTCGACCACGCCTCCTGGTTTGTAGGCGTGGCGGAAAGCGGCAAAGCGCTGGGGGTGGCCCGGGTAGAGGGCACCGGCTGGGCTGCCCCAGCGACCCCAGATTTCCCCTTCTTTTTTTCTTTCTTTTCTGCCGCTCCTCCCCGTCCATAGGCGGAGGGGGGACAGATGTTATGGATGCCGCCGGTCGCGTGTCCTGCACCCACGTCACAATCTCTTTTCTAAACGATGCCAATTTGGCATCGATTAGAGCCCCAAACTGTGCCAGCAGATCCGCTGGCACCGTCGCAGGTGGGGGCGAGGATTTTCCTCGTCCCAAGCATTGAGGCGCTTGGTTACCAGCGACCGATGGCGGCACCACATCCTCCCTGAGGAACAGCGGCGGGGGCAACGCGGCAGTAACCGACCTCCCCTTCACCGCCTGACGTAGCCGGGCTACTTCCGCCCGTAGCTCCTTCATTT